AAGGAAAAATCACAGCAAAGGAGCACGGGAGAACTCCTGGGGCGATCTTATTTCTTGACCTGAGTTACATGGATGGTTGCTCTGTGATAAGTCAATGAACTATACTTTTATCATGCACTTTTCTGAATGGATGCTATATTTCACAATAAAACAGTTTAAAGAAAAGCAACTAATTTGCACCTATCAGCACTTTATTAGCAGGGACAAATTACTTGTGACACCACTGACCCTGCCCTGACAATACCCCCCTTATCTTCTAAAATATTGGCTAGTCCAATAACACCAGAACTTTAATAGGGTAAGGAAGGGTTGATGTTGTCCTCCAACTCAGCCCTGACCCATGAGGAAAATAAGAGGCCATGTATATGATACCCCACTGACAAGGTCTGTTTATTTTTATTATTATTATTATTTTGAGTTGGGGTCTCACTCTATTGCCCAGGCTGGAGTGCAATGGCATGATCATGGCTCACCACAACCTAAAATTCCTGGGTTCAGGTGATCCTCCCACCTCAGCCTCCCAAGTAGCTGGGACTACAGATGCATGCCACCACACCCTGCTAATTTTTTAATTTTTTGTAGAGACGAGTTATCACTATGTTGTCCAGACTGTCCCTCCTCAGCCTCCCAAAGTGCTGGGATTACAGGCATGAGTCATCGCACCCAGCCTAAGGTCTCTTTACATAAGACTATGTCGGAAGATGGGGTTGGCTGCACATGGGTCATGCTGGATGTCAGATGAGTAGAGCGCCAGGAAAAATTGCACTGCAAGTGACCTACAGGGAGGTCTGTGCCCAAATCTTTTCCATACCCAGCCAGCATAAGGGCTGGCTCTGAATGGGGGCTCAATGTTCATGTGTTGAACTAAACTATGTGAAATAATTAAACCTCAAGCTAGATAAATGCTATTTTGTTTCATTTTACAACACTTTAAATTAGAAAGACTATGAAGATGAGTGAATCTTGCCCCCCATTTTATAGATGCAAAAACTGAGGCTCAGAGTGTGAAAAGTAACTTATCTAAGTTCACAGAGGAAGCCAGTGGTTGGAACCTAGATTTCCCAATGCTTGAATTTTTGCTTTTTGAGGGGGTAGAGCATATCAAGAAGCTTACAAAGATCCACTGTGTGTGTGTGTGTGTGTGTGTGTGTGTGTGTGTGTGTGTGTGTGTGTCAAAGTCTGAGTCTCTCTTTGCCATCAATGCTGGAGTGCAGTGGCACAATCACAGCTCACTGCAGCTTTAACCTTCTGGGATCAGATGATCCTTCCTCCTCAGCCTCCCAAAGTGCTAGGATTACGGGCATGAGCCACTGCGCCAGGTCAAAGATTCACTTTTAAACAGGTCTGTTATCTGCAAATTACCGTATGCCTATATTTTACCCCTCCCTGAGGAACCTTGCCCTAGCTCACAGTGACATTCAGGGATGGCAAGGACAGTAGGCTGGAGGCCTGGGGGTGCAGACGGAAGTCAGGCCTCTTCTTCCCAGAGAAACAATGCTCTATGAGGCCAGCAGTTTTTGAGTTTCAAGCTGTGTGCCAAATCTACACCAGGCTGGCTAGGAATCCCACCTCAAAGCCCCATCAGATCTGGAGCCTCGGTGCTCTGGGAAAATGAATTCTTTTGTTCTATAAACAGCTTTACTGAGGTATTGTTTACATTCCATAAAATTCACCCGTTTTAAGTGGACAGTTAGATGAATTTCAGCAAATTTATAGAGTTGTGCAACCACCACCATAATCCAGTTCTCCAAAACGTTCCTTTGTGCCCATCTGCAGTGAATCCCTGCTTCTGTTCTTGGCCCAGGCAACCACTGATCTGTTTTCTGTCTCTGTCGTTTTGCCTCTCCAGAAATGTTGTATAAATGGATTCTTACAATACAGTTTTTATGTCTGGCTTCTTTCACTTGGCTTAATTGTTTTAAAGTTTATCCATGTTGTTGTAGCATATATGAGTACTTTGTTCCTTTTAATTGCTGAATAGTATTCCATTGAATGGATATACCATTTGTTGTTTACCTGTTCACTAGCTGATGGACCAGTTGTTCATTTCCAGTTGAGGCCATTATGAATAATGCTGCTATGGTTGTTCACATATGAGATTTTGGGTGGACATATGTTTTCCTTTCACTGAAGTAGATAGCTAGTAGTGGAATCGCTGGCTTGTAGATTAAGTGCATGTTTATCTTTTTAAGGAACTGTCAAATTGTTGGGAAAATGCATCTGAAGCATCTAACAAATCACTCACTAACATGCCACCCCTTTTGAGCATAGAGCACAGACTCTGGAGTCAGAACCTCTGGGTACAAATTATGTTATGGAAGGCTGCATGCCCTTGGGCAGGTGACTGTGCCTCAGTTTCCCCATCTGTTAAAAGGGACAACACACAGAGTTGCGAACACTGAATGCACTCATTCACATAGAGCACTTAGAACACTGCTGTGAAGTGCTACAAAGCCTTGACAATCATTCTTTACAGCCAGTTGAGCAGTGGCCCCATGGAAGAAACAGAGCCAGTCTTGGCTTTCACAGACAAGGGAGAGCCATCACGGATCCACTCAGCTACAACCATATACCCTTAAGGAAGTCATGCACCTTCTGTACGATGGAGCCCAACTTACTTCCAAGCACTGCTAGGTGGCTGATCCAGTGACCTTATACAAGGTAAGTGCTTTGTAGACTGCTCGATGCCATGCAGATGCCATGGATGGTTGTGACATTCAGATTATGGGGCTCATTGAGGACTGTGGAGCCCCTAAAACCCTCTCCACCCGGGAAGCTTCTCTAAGCGCATATTAGGATCGTTAAGGGCAAAGACTCTGGAGTTAGACTATCTGATCCACATCCTACCCCATCCACTTAGAAAGCTTGTGACTTTGGACCTCTATTTCCTCATCTAAAAAAAAAATAAAAACAGATAGTAAATGTCCTCAGTCCTTACGACCTGGAGTGAATGTAAGGACTGGATGAATGAAATACGAACGTGTTCACAACTCCACCTGAACATGTGAAAGTGTTTTATAAAAACGTTGACCATATTAAACTGCATGAAAAAGTTAGTTTGGGGGAGAATGGTTCACATTTCTAGGAATTCTCTTCATATTCCTAAAGGGGCACCAAATACCCATCAGCTGCAAATGGCCCTCCCAGGGCCCTTCTCAGCCCCTGAGGGTTTCCTGGCCCTCCCTCTTTACGTTATGCATGGGAACAGGACTTCCTTTGTGTTAGAAACAACAGCCCTGACCTGACATTGAGAGATCCAGGCTACACACGCAGGAGGAGAAAGAAACACCAGCGTTTCTATTCTCAGACCCCTCTTCCTTTCGGAAAACTGGAAGTTGCAGTGAAGTTCACAAAAGACCACAGAGCCCAAAGCTGCCCTCTGCCACTGGGCTGGCAGTGCTCTACATCACATGCAAAATTGCAGCGTTCCGACATGGGCCAGGGTGCTGAGAAGCCAAAACTATGCTCCAGCTGCCCTTTGATCTGCAAGAAATGCCGGACTGGACACTCTGGCAGGAAAAGCTATCATCGCATTTCAGTCTTGTTCCCCAGAAGACAATGGTCTGGGCTATCCTGGGCTTCTTCTGGCAAACAAAGAATTAACCAAGGCCCCTGAATTGTTTCGAAGCAACTCAGTTCAGTTCTTTCTTGTGCAGCACAAGCCCCAGGTGTCCCCACTGAAGGTCATGTCTCGCATCCGTGTGCAGAGAGGGCCCTGGATCTGCCCTTACCAAGTGCAGGCACTGGGTGCACTGAGACCATCGCGGCTGGTGCTGTCGCTGTCCTTCCAAAGTCCCTCTTCTGCCTGAGATTGGAAGGATCATGCCCAGTTCTCAATTTTTTTCAGGGGACCAGAGATTGCTTCCCAGCCTTCCCACTTTCATTCGATTAAAGCTGTGTACTCGAGACCTAAATCCAAAAGGGCCAGAAGCTACTGTTTGGAAAGTATAGCTCTCCTGCAAAACTGCACGAGCAAAGAGCTGAACAAAGATGGGGCCAAGAGAGCTGGGTTCAAGCCCTGGCTTTTGGACTGGCCACTTTCTAACCCCTCTCACCTCTCACTTTCTAACCCCTTTCCAACACATAGTTATTGCAAGAATCAAGCAGAAATTTCTATCACTTATTTTGTGGCTAGTATGTGCCAGGAGCATGGACAGCACATCATTTCTCCTCCCTCCCTTAATCTTCACAGCACCCCAAGTAGGTAAGGTAATCTAATTATTCCCCTTTTTCAGATGAGAAAACTGAGGCACAGAGAAATCCATGGCCCAAAATCACCCCGCCGATCCACAATTCAAACCCAGACATCCTGACCTTAATGGAGACCCATTTTAACTCAGACCCCACTGTTCATCCAACCACCTGAGTCCTGCTGGGGAAACTGAGGCCCAGGGAACAAAGGAGATCAGATCCCGGGGTCCCAGTTGTTTCCATCAACCATGAAGCCATTGCCAATGATAAATGCGACCCCTAGATATATGGCAGATGAGAAGACAGAGGCTCAGAGAGGTGGAGCCCACTCAGAGTTAAGCACCAGAGCAATTCAGTTCCGTTATTTCTTGAGCTGCTAAAGCACCAGGTGGCCCTGCCGGTGACCCTGCCTCGCTCCCGTGTGAAGAGAGGGCACCGTCCTGCCCTTGCCGCCAGTCCGCCGCGTGCAAGACCAGACTGCGGGGTGCGCCGAGGCTGTCGTGGCTGGCGCTGTCACAGTGTTTCCGAAGTCCCTCTCTGCCCAAGACTGGAAGGGCCGCGCCCAGCTCAGACGCCTCGGTGCCCAGAGAGCTCTCCACCCGCCCCGGCTGCCCAGGGACCCCATTCTTGGCTGTAACCCCCGCACTGCCGAGAGAAAGCCATCGGCAGGACCGCCAGTGCGCACGGAGTGGCGAGGACTCCCTTTTATGTCCAGGAATGAGGCGCGCACCGCAGGCGCGTCCGCTGTCAGAGCCAACTTTCCCGATGCGCGGAGGCAGCCGGTGCCACCTCCAGGCTGGGTCGCTTACCTGTGGCGGCGCGGGTCTGGGTGACGGCGGGAAGGGGCGCGCAGACCGCGAGCAGCACCAGCAGGCACCAGCATTGCTCGTTCCTCCTGCAAGAAGTAGCCGAAGGAGAGACGGTGAGGCCGGGGGAGGGCTGGAGGGGGCCGGGGCGCGGGGAAGCGCGTCCTACCTCGGTGCCATCTCGCAGGTCCGCGAAGCCCCCAGAGGTGCTAGGCGAGCCAAGCAGAGCAGGGAACAAAGGCGGCGCTCGGCGGCGGCAGAGGCGGC